TTTCAAACGTTCCATTATCATTGACGAAAATACATGTCTAACTACAAATTTATATAATTTTGTGCCTAGAATTTTTAACAAAATGGAGGTACAATTTTCCAGTATTACCGGTGATTTTTTAATAAATTGAACGATTACAGTAAGGAATTCTTTATCACAAAATTATTCTTGCATTCAGATCTTATCAACCATAAAATGGTTTAAGAAGAGTCGTTCACACTAATGAATGGAGAATCACTCAGATTTTCTGCAATATATCTACATTTACGTGAAGAGCACTTAATTCGATTTTTTTGTCAATTGTTCGAGGTTTTTCCATTATCTTGAAGATGGCTGAAAATAGCAGCCGAAACGTCGATCGAAATATATGTATACATATAGTAAGACTAAACTTGCATTTTTAATTTACACAAATAACAATTGTGTTATAGCTCTTAGTTGCCCAGTTTGATTGTAATATTAGTTTTAATATTGAGAGCTCTTTAAATTTACATTAGTTAAAGTGGACTCTAAACTGAATTAAAAAGTCCTTTATCATTATAGAATTATTATTTTTTTTTATTACTCAATAAACAGAATGTATGAAATCGACTCATAAAATAACTTTAAGATGTCTTTAAGAGATTTCATAAAGAATTCTGAAAGATATCTTAAAATTATCTCATGCGCCGATTTTACTCGTTTATTCGGCAATCATTAGAAATTAATAACTCGTTATGGTATTGTGAAAATTGCAAAATAAAGAGGACTTTTTGATTCAGTTTAGTCTAGTCTACCTGTCCATAAGTGGTGTGTCAGAAAGTTTGAGACATCCTGTATATATGTTTAATGTTGGAACAAATTTTGACAATTTTACATATACATTATATGTATAATATTATGTATATGTACACGCATGCACGCACGCACGCGCGTACATACACACACACGCGCACACGCACGCACGCACACGCAGGGTGATTCGTATAAAGTAATCGATTTAATGATTAGCAGATTTTAAAGACATAAGCAATGCTAATGTATTTAGTATAAAGGGGAACATTATATAGTGGAAACAATTACTTTACTTCGTAAAGGCGATTGGGGATATTTCAAGATCAACTTCATTTGTAATAGAATGTTATATTTTTTATGTCATTGTTTAAAAGCACTTTTTAAGACAAGTTTATGATTACATTACGTAAGTACATTACAGGTCGATCTAGAACACAAATTTATAGTACAATAATATTCTACGAATACTTATATACGAATACAAATTAATCGCTATTAAAACAGAAAACGAATTTTGGAACACCCTGTGTAATATGGGATATGATTGTCATAATTTAATCCGACGTTTCTTCTAATTTACTCAGGACTTGTCTTTGTTATTTCATGCTCTCTTCTTCGCAACGCGGAATAATAAACGCACCGCGGAACTGTGCGCGCAGAGGGCCGATCGAAGAGAGCTGCAAAAGAGAATGCAACGTAATTCGTACTGTTCATTGTCGCATGACGCGATTGTATATAGAATGGGATGGAGTTTGTGGAAGGGGGGTGGGGGTGCGAGAGTCGACAGGAGAGAACCGTGACTCCGAGAGACAAGCAGGGGAGGATACGCTGCCACTATTCGTCCGCACCCTTCCCCTCATTTTCGCCCCCGCGTTACACAACAAAGCCGCAGGATGAGAAAACATTAATCTAGGCATGTTTTGCAATCTCGCCGTTCGCGGTGTAGCTACATATAATGGAACGCTGTTATTGCTACGCTGTTATGGCGTGCGCACAATGTTCGTTTCGTGCCTCTTCCTCCTCTTCCTCCTCCTCGTCATAATCGTGATCGTCGTCGTCGTCGTCGTCGTCGTCGTCGTCGTCGTCGTAGTACAGATTGGAGGAGGCGTGCATGTGTGTTCGTCAGCAACCAAGATTAATATTTCGAAGGTAACGAAATGATAGAGACGATGCGAAGATACGTCGTCGAGAACAACATTGAGTGTGGACACAGGTGTTCCGCGTCGCGCGGGGGGTATCTGCTATCGGAATATCGATATTTTCCTCTTCTATATACTTTTTTTTATATTAGTCTTTGGATGCTACATAAGTATATATGTTTAACAGTAAGACGTTTGCAGTGAAAACACAAGCGAAATTTTGTGTGAATACAATCAATTAATTGGTAATGTCATTATTTTACCGGTTAATTTTGGAAATAGTACATTTGTGCAATGTACAATCGTATACATGATAATGTGCAAATAAACATATATAATTAATTATCTTTATCATTATAACTTTATTTATTATTAATTATATATATAATTATCAAAGTGGTTAATAATTTTAATAATTTTTCGCATTTTAAAAATACGCCTCATATTCCTTACTTTACTCTATTTTTATTTGCGCCTCCTTTGATTAAATAAATGAAGTCTTTGCAATACGTCTGAAAACATCGGATCGGGCCATTCTCTTTTTTTCGCTCATTCTATCCCTCATTAAACGCGAAAAACAGAACGACCAAGAAAACCGCGAGGATTATTATCGAGAGGCCGGCACATCCTTTCAGCGCCCAATCATGGATGTCCTTAGAAGGGCCGCCTCTCGTTGCTATTTTATCCCTCGGTGGGGTGTGCGGCGATGATGAAGGAGAGAGAAAGATGCAATAAATAGCAGACAGGCCGTGATGTATCGGTCGCATCCTTTGGATGCTAAACGGGAATAGATCGATTCGCTGAAGGGGCTTAGAATTTACGATAGAACTAAATAAAATTAAATCAATTACTGTTTTTATTTATTTATATTATAATAGTTTAAATTTTGTCGGATTACTTAAAAGAAAAATTGAAAGCATTGTGTAACATCATCTTAGAGAGATAACTAATTTTATTAAGCGACAATCAATATAATGTACTTCTGAGGAAATTTGTGAATCCACTGCAATCTGTGTGAACTACGAAAACGTGTAGACGATATTTGAGTTCACAACAAAAAACAGCGTCGATTTACTGAGGCATATATAACAATGGATTTTGTTATCTTCCAAGCGATTACAGTGAGAGAGTAAGTCTTTTACCAACGACAATATATGCTGAAAATTGACGATGCCGTTGAAGTGGGAACATATACACGGTGGGCCATTTTAATCTCCCCACCTGAATTTCTCGGAATCTAAGCGAGATAAAGAAAAATGGTCCAGACAAAAGTTGAAAGGGACAGAGGGGGTCACCTAATTGTGCCAAGGACCTTGACCTTGAACTCGATTTTCAAGGTTATTTCAAGGTCAAAATGATTTTTTTAAATGGGAACACCTATTTTTGACCACGGATTTGAAAAGAGCGGGAAATTTTACGTTCAAAATGATATGTTTATCAAGGTCATGGCAAGGTCGAACGAAGGTCAAATTTGCGAATTTAAACTCCCCACTTACATTTTCCGGAACAATTTTTTAAATAAGCAAAATAGGTGACCCCCTCGGCCCCCTTTAACATTTGTCTGAACCAATTTTACGTATTTGGCTTAGGTTCTTGGCTTAGATTATAATTTAATTATTATTAAAATAATATATTATTTTATATAAAACATTCTTTCCCGGGATAATGTCTACAAAACTTCGATGTTTCTGCTCTAAAAAACGCTTTTGAATCGCTTCTGAAGTGCAAGCGCTTTTAAAGCGCTTTTCACGCGCATGATCATTTTTTAATCGATGTGACTTGAAATCTGTCGAGTTATCCATGTGCTATGAAACCGTATAACTGACAGCAGTTTTGGGAGATGCGATCTGAAGAGCGCTTCGAAAGTGCTTTCCACGCGCTGCTGTGCTACATGGAGGACTATGTGTTAGCGTTAATTCGAGCATTAATTGTCGATTTATAATCGAATCATGTTCTCCGCGGACATTTGGATGACGGTTCTTAATTTTATTTTACCCCATTTTTACAGAAAAATTGAAATATCTTCCTTAATATTCATCGGAGAAAAAAAATAACGACACTTTCAATACATAATGGGACCCCGTGCTATTGATTGAGCCTGATAAAAATTTCGTCCGCCTAGCCGTTTTTTAGATATGAACATAGTGTTCCCGGTCAACTCGACAGTTGAAGTAAAGAAACTCTGTAGTGTCCCCTTTGCCCAGTACGCGCAAATACTTGGCGCGAGGCATTACCGTGTCTCTTGATTTTTTTTCAAAAAGTATGTGAAATCTTTATATTGCGCCAATTATAAACAAAATACGTTTCGTTTAAAAAAATATAAAAATATTGTCACATTTTGGTTTTATTATTTAAAAGATATTAAAAATAATTATTTTATAAGAATTAAAAATAGGACCATTTGAGTTTTATTGTTTAAAAGTAGTTATGCAACATTAATGTTTCAATGAAATGTATTTTCTGTTTATAATTTGCGCAATTTAAAGATTTCATATATTTTTTGGAAAAAAAAAAAAAAATTATTATACTTTGATAAATTAGAAGATAGATTGGGAATAGGTTTGGAAAAGAGAGTCATTGGGCGCATTCAGCAAACTTAACAGTTGATTGAGCGCTGGCTGTTATTAGTCTATTCTTTTAAATCATCCAATTAGAATTTTAGACCTAGAGGAATACATCAATAGCAACGAGCGCTCATTTAACTGTGAGTCTGCTAAACGTAGCTATTTTTTTCTTCAAGGAACATAAACAAACACATACACTTGGAGCCTTTTTACCTAGTTTTTTGTTTAAAAACACTTATTTTTCCTAACAATTCAATAAGATAATTAGAAGATTTGTGTGGCGGTTTAATCTATTATATATATATTTCTACATTTATATTAAACACACACACACACACACACACAAAATTTTTACGTCAGCTATGTACGACTTTAATGTACACTAGTGCGCAGTGCGCACCAATGTTCCCAGCCGAAATTGCTATAAGATTCTGCAAAGGGATCTAAATTATCGATTGAGCGTCACAGTCTGTAAACTTTCTAATGCAGCCGCGTGGCGCGTCGACCGCCGTTAAATGCGACGAAAAAATGTTTTCACATTTCACATGTGATGTGCGCACTGAATGGCACTTTTCACTGCGCTCAGCTATGTCCAACTGTATTCGATAATTAACGGTGTTGCAAAAAGTATTGTGATGTGTCGGTTTGCATTAGTTGCTTAAACATAAGCGCGGTCGACGGTTAACATGATTCGCGTCACGAGAGAGCCAACAATAAATCATATTTGTATTTTTATCGCCGTGATACTTTTATGCACGAATGCCGGTTGTTTACTCGAGGAAGGCATAAAAACTACAGACGGTTCGCCGGTGCCAGTGGTGCTCTGGCATGGAATGGGTACATCTTTCTGAATAATATTCCACTTCCCCGCTTTTTAAACTTGAATGCTTTTCCTGCATATTTTCCCTCCGAGATATTACGTTTGATATAATTTTCACCACGCTAACTATAATGGGCAATCATGTTGCAATGTTCTTCACAATTATAATATCTTTGCATGTAGTAGCGTCGTATTAAATTTAATTTTACTTTAAGGAACGTTTTTGTAATTGCTTTAAAAACTTGTTAAGAATTGTATTTATCACTGTTTATTGCATGTAAACGTGATGTCCTTATCATTTAAAAATAAAGAATTATGTATAGAGACAGAAGTTTCTTTTTAATTACAAGCAGATAAATATTTTAGCCTAATTAGCTCAAAAATTATATGTTATAATGAAGAAAGATCTTATATTTTGCTTTTACAAAAATACTCTTTTCTTTAATTTAATATTTTGATTAGAGCTCAAACTTCTAAATTCATCAAAACTTCTAAGTTCTATATTTATCTTTTTATAGGAAGTACTGTATGTATACATTAATAAATAACAATTGCCTACAAACGTGAGATTGAAAGGTTTTTTTTTAACTATAGCACGATATATTTACTTTCTAGTTTTCAATTATTCATTTTTTTACTTCATTTTGTTATGAAAATAAAAGCATATATTTTGCAGGTGATAGTTGTTGTTTCTCTTTTAGTCTTGGAAAAATACAACAGATCCTTCAAGATGAAATTCCTGGAGTTTATGTCCATTCCATACGTATTGGAAACAACGAGATAGAGGTTGGGCAATTGTTCACAAATTTAAAAACATATATTTGGGAAAAATATTCTATATAAATATAATATTTATCTTATACCATTATTTTGTCCTACTCTTCCTTTAAACATTCACCTATTCATATTCAACTTGTTTGTCTTAATTCTTCCTTCAGCATATAAACTTTTTTACACGAAACTCCATGCTGCTTAGTGTTGTGCAAGGTACTTTATTTTCAGTGCTTAGGTACAGGTACTAGAAAAATAAAATGTCTGGGTACAGGTATGTATCTTAAAAGTACCTTGGTACAGGAATTTTTATTTTTGTTTTTGACATAAAATTTCAAAATAAATTGCATTTTGACGACAAAATGACGTCTTTAATGTTATTTTGACGTCAAATGGCGATAGCTTGCTTATTAGGTGTGATCTATTTGTATCTGCACGTAATATCCACCCTGCTGAAAATTCTTGTATGTTTTTTGTACCAGATCTTAAAAGAGTTGTATGTAATCAATCAAGGTTACTAAATGAATGTACATGATCATATATGAATCTTATATAATTTGTATATGAATCTCACCAGTAATCTTTAATGACACAGGAATCTGAAATGAATCGTATATGTAAAGAAATTATTTCTTAAAAGTACCTTATTAGGCTAAAGTAATTAAAATTTTTTCATTGTGATATAAATCGTCGTGTACGATGCATGCCAGATTCTTGTATTAACTTGGAAAATAAATTATTCCATAACTATGTCTCTTAATACTGATAAATAATATAGGCTGCGTTCCATTTCACGCATGATGTACATAATGCATAATTTATCCTTGTTTAATATTCGGTGAATAACAAAGATAAATGCATCATGTGCATCATGCATGAAACGGAACGCAGCCATAATCTTTCATGAAACACTTAGAATCATACCATATATAATTAATACCATATTCTTAGATGATCCTGTAAAGAACGACTTTTTAAAAGTTCTTTATAAGGTTAAGGCAAGATCTTTTCATTGCGATATAAATCCTCGTGTACGATTCATTTCAGATTCCTATGTCATTAAAGATTACTGGTGAGATTCATGTACAAATTATATAAGATTCTTATATGATCATATACGTTCATTTAGTAATCTTGATCACTTACAACTCTTTTACCCACACAGCATGTAATCTTGTAGTAATATTACAAATTTGATGTAATATTGCATGATAATATGTCAGTAATATTGTATAAATATCGCTACAATATTAAATGTCCGCGGCAAATTCATCGCAGAAATATTTCTGCGATATTTTTGTAATATTACTATAATATTAGGCAATATTTCTACATATTATGCTAATATATTGCAATATTGCGATAGTATTTCTATATACTGGAGTAATATCGCAGTAATATTACATAGTGTAAATATCTCTACAATAATAAAAATCTGCAAATATTCATAACAGGAATATTTCTGTGATGTATCTGCAATATCGCTGCAACATTATGATATATTACAATAATTAATCCAGTTTTATTAATTGCTAATGTATTATTTGTTAATATTACATTTTAAAGTACGTATAATAAAGCCATGATAAAAAAAACATTTAGACGCCTAGAAAGCACTCTCAAAAAGGTTGGTAATCTCCGGGAGACAAACCAACTCGATTTGTATATTCCTTCTTATAAGACTGCTGGATGTTTTCTTCTTATGAGTAGTGTATCCCTTTTGTGGCTGGGCCGCGTACTTATCCCTTCAGCACGAAATATAGTAGCAATATTGCAGCAATATTTAAATAATGCACAATATTACAAAAAGTGCTATATTGCTGCACTATTGAAATTATAATATTTGATTGGAAATATTGTTACAATATTACAACTTAACAAATAAGTATGCGGCCCCGCTACAAAAAGGATACGCTTCTCATAAAGAACAAAATGTCCAGAAGTTCTATAAGAAGGAGTACACGAGTATATTCAAAGACTATTGTATTTAAAATAAAAATTCATAAATAAATGTTTCACTTAATTTTTCTAAACCTTCGTTACTATTATATTGTATTTTGAACGGCGAATGTTGTATTTTGAACACCGACTTGTATATATATTTCAATGATGTATTATTTGGTCCCACGCATAATAAAAAAAATTAAAAACAGGAAAAAAATATTGAATATTGGAGAAATAAAAACATTGTACCATAAATGAATATTAAATATAACTGCAATAGATACAAATAAGATACATAAAACACAATACATCTTATTTGTATCCATTGTGAGTTATGTTCAATCTATACTCCTAATTTTTTTACATTTAATACTTAATATTTATTCAGTAATAAATTAAAACATAATATTATTCATATCTTAGAAAGATGGCATTGCGATAAAATACATTGTAATATTTCAATGCTGTTGCAGTAATATTGTAATACGATAAACTGCAATGTAATAATTGAACGATATTGTTGTAATATTGCAGTGCAATATACCACATTGCAATCATTGAATGATATTGCGGTAATATTACAATGCGATATATTACATTGCAATATTTGAACGATATTACGTAACACTACATTGCGATATATCTCACTGCAATATTTAGACGACATTGTAGTAATATTGCGGAATGATATATCACATTGTAATCTCAACAAAATTATTGCAATATTACATTATGATATATCATTTTAGGAATGTATGTTACTCAATATCGTAGCTTGAGGAGACAGGCGTGGTCAAATTACTTTGACAGAAACTTCGTGGTCAATTCGGGATAAGAATTCGTTTTTATTCAAACAATTCCGAAAAGATACAGGTCTTCGTACCGCGAGGACTCACAGCTGAATGCTCTCTCTTTTAACGCGCAATTGTTTGCTTCACCTCATCGATTTTTTTCTTGATCTTTCTAAATAACACGTGTTGTCCCCGCGGGTCGTCATTATTTATTATCCGTTTATTATTGTAACATTTTCAAACAAGAAATGTTTTCATTACCGCCTTCTCTGTATTAATGAGATATACTAGCTTATATCGCCGAAATTAGAAATTACGATTAGCTCACGGATTCACAGAGTATATTCACTTCCAATGCGCGTCAACCTACGTAGAAAAACTGTACGAAACATCGCCCGAAGTCCAGCGTCGATTTAAATGTCTGTGACCTTCGGAGAAATCAGCTGTATTTACGGCCGTTCTCGCATATATCATGCATACAAGTATATGGTATTGCGAGCCTCTAATGTGAATTAATTTTTTTCACAATCGCGATACGTGGCGGTGCAACTGTCGCCATATCAAAATATAATATCTCAATAGTATTTACGTAATATTTCATTGCAAATCGTAATATTACTGCAATATTGTGATCTCACTGCAATATTACTGCAATATTACATGCTGTGTAGGTAAGATCTGGTACAAAAAATTTACAAGAATTTTCAACAAGAATGTTGCTGTTAATTGGTGAAGCTGGCCCCTCATTTTCAAAATTTTGAAAAAATAAGCAGAGTTCTAGTTGCCTTGGAAAAAATTTTTTTCGGAAATCCGGTATTTTTTTAATGTTCTGATTGCCTCCCAAAAAGTTCTATCGATTGTCTTGTATGGATCAAAATGCTAAAATGAATGATAAAGAAGTTATAGCCCTTCAAAGTTTCGGAATCGTGAACTTGGCCCTCTCGAAATTTCAAATGGTGTTTTCACCGCTTGACGGAACTCTTTCTATAAAATTGATAGAGAACTCTTCGGGGGGTTATCAGAACTCTCAATAAAATGCCGGATTTCCGAAAAAACATTTTGACCTGCATGGACTTGGAAAAATTCGAAATCTGAAACTTCAAAGCTCTAGAATTTTTTAGATATTGGTTTCAGCGCATCGATCATTAAACATAATCGTTAGAACTCTTTGGGGGGCTATCAGAACTCATAACAGAATAGCCGAAATTTGAAAAAAATTTTTCCTAAAAAATTTTTTGTGGAAAAAATTTTTTCGAAAATTCGGTATTTTTTTTTAGAGTTCTGGTTGTTCCCCAAAGTTATATCGATTGTCCTATATGAGTCAAAGTGCTAAAATGAACGGTAAAGAAGTTATAGTCTTCAAAGTTTCGGAATCGTGAACTTGGCCTCCTCGAAACTTCAAATGGTGTTTTCACCGCTTTAATCGACGGAACTCTTTCTAAAATTGATAGAGAACTCTAAAATTCTTCGGGGGGCAACTAGAACTCTGCTTATTTTTTCAAAATTTTGAAAATGAGCCAGCTTAACCGGTTAAGTGGTATTGTAGCATATATGCACAAAAAGAATCCGTGCCAAAAGTGGTATTGTAGCATATATGCACATCTTGAATAACTTCTATATTATTCAACGAATTTGCTTGAAATTTGGTATACTATTGTTTTTTGGGCTTCTGAACTCGATTTTGGCGTCAAATTTGTAAAATTTGATGGCGAACACAACATGGCGACTAATACGTTGAATGAAAATGGCGATTTTTGTATATATATTGCAATTACGTTTTACCCCCGCAGTTAGCTGGTGAACATGTCACGACCCCCAGGGCCAAATTTTGGTATATTTTAGTTCACAATTGACGCCTACCACTTTTGGCACGGAATGTTTTAAAAAGCCTACCACTTAACCGGTTAATCAAGTTAATCTATATTGGTAGAAATGTATGTAAATGAGTCTTTAGGTTAATTGGTATTTACTGGATATTTACTTATAGTATTATACAAATATTTTATATGTAAGGAAGACCAGGGATAGTTGATACATGGGGCATATTGTTACGCTTAAAATTGCTGCAAAACAACAAACGATATTATTACATAAAAAATGTAGTATTTCCGTGAAAATATTGAGGTCATGCTGCAATAAGTTGTTTCAAACTGAATAGTATACTAGTATTTTCAGAACTAGAAAATATTTTCGGTTTTTCATAGCCAAAAGTAAAGTAAATCAGTGACATATTAAATGTTACACTTATCAGTCTGCTCACCATATCATAATTTCAACTATTTCTATAGAATTCTTATTTTATAAACAACCCTACTGAAAAAAATCACGTCATAAAGTTACATAACGAAATCATGTAATTAAAATAAATCACATAACAGAATAGGTCTGTTCGCGTTGCATGAAATCCCCAAATATTTTTGCACTTAAAATGGGATAAATATATATTTGGCCTTGAAAAGAGAGAAAGCGAAAATGTCGAGTGCCAAAAGTGCAAGCAACACGAACAGATCTATTGTTCCAAATCAGTACGTGAATTTTTTAAATCACGTAATTTGAAAAAATCTCATGATATTAGAAATAATTTCATCTATCATATGACTTTATTGTTATATATACAGGGTGTTTCCAAATTAAATCGCAAAACTTCGGGAGCGTGTAGAGGAGTAAAAAACTAAGAAAAAAAGTCCTATAGACATATGCTCGTTTTTGCTCCGTTTCAGAGAAATCGAAAAAAAATGTTTACATTTCTTGCCATATCTAGCACCGACATATTTGATTACATTTTCCACTTTCTGTTATGAATTTGTCAGTCGCTCTTTGAAAGCCTTTAACAGTAGATGAATTTTGTCTTTTGCAATATGCCGCGTACGTATTCTAATAGTGAATATGCTGATATGGTTTTTGTATACGGTTTCTGCAACGGTAATGCTTTAAAGGCGGTGCGAGAATATGCACGACGATTTCCAAACAGAAGAGTGCCAAACCGAAGAGTGTTTATGTTGACATTTAATAGATTGCGAGAGACTGGAACATTTTCAATTCGACAAGAAAACAACCGATTTCAAGCAGCGTTACGAAGAGATTTGCAGGCAGGGAATCGTATTTTACAACATTTTGACAATCATCCTGAGACCAGCGTTCGGAATGCGTCGGCTGTATTGGGAGTGTCACCACAAACAATTTGGCGAACTGTAAAAGGAGATAATCGCTATCCCTACCACATTCAAAAAGTGCAA